AACAATTAGTATGAAAAACGTCAGTCAGCATTTGACTCAATGATTAATTGTATTCGCTGACAAGGTCATTGTATCGACCATAAAACTTGCAAAATTATGACTTTAAACGAGACTGTTCATCTTCTTGTTTCATCAAATTGTTTGTCAGTAACTTGCCCCGTTTTAAAAATTGTTCGTACGTAGACAATGGTATTGCGTTCCCAATCAACTGAGAGACATAAACCCCATATGCAGGTGATAAAGGTATATTGCTACATAAGTAAGGAAAGACGAAGTCATAACGTTTACATAAAGTTTTGATGGTAGGTTACCATTAACGTTTTTTTTCTAGTAAAATATCCAAAAATGAAACAGATATGCCAGACTCTGTGGCATCCTCTATTGCAAGCTCACTGGGATATACATCGAGTCGACATATAAATGGAAGTAACTATTGTTAATTGATAATACGTCGTCAATACATGTATATCGAAATGTCGAGTTGAAGGCCATAGCGAGTGTTTTCTTCTTCTCATGTAGAAGTTTTTGAATAAATTCTGCTTCATATGAATACAAAAATAGGTCTGCTAATAACGGGGAGCAATTGGTACCCCTAAAAATTCCAACAGATTGTTTGAAGACCTGATCTCCAAAAACCACATAGATATTGTCAATCAGAAACTCAAGCATTTTTTTAATATCAACTTCAAAGTACTTGTGAGTACAATCAGAATGTTTTTTTAGCAAAATAATTTTGCAAATGACCAATGACAAGGTAAGTATATTTACGAGTTTTATTTTTATTGAAAAAGCGCTGTCTATGATTTCAAAAAGCCTGGACTTCAATCTATCGTAGGGAATTGTTGTATAAAGTGTTGAAAAGTCGTACGTTCTAATGTGTTTGATTTTGGTAAAATTCTGTGATTTCAAGTTTTCTATAGGTTCCTTGGAGTTTTTAAGTATCCACATCTGATTAAAAAAGGCTTGGTAGAACATTCACTGGAACCTGTCAATTAACATGTTATTTGGGGTACATGATTTCACATATAGGACCTTCTTCCAAAAGTTTGTATTTTTTTAAAATAACATTTGTCTTGTGAAAACCCTATATTCAGCACCATATGACAATATATATATATATATCTCAAGTCCTTCCAAAAGTTTGTATTTTTTAAAAATAACATTTGTCTTGTGAAAACCCTATATTCAGCACCATATGACAATATATATATATATCTCAAAAACTGCATATTTGTATTATTGGTAATATGTTTAGAGGGCCCCTAAGAAGACTAGTGCATCACTAATCGGGTTACCCTCTTGATCTTGAGTCCACTCCTGATTTGGTGCACCACAGTGTCTTATTTGTCTGTTAAAAAATGGTATAAAAACAAAATACCGAATCTTAATCAGAGTGTCTGTGGCACTTGACTTTAGGATTTTTATACTCTTTACACTATATGCAACAAAATACAACCGACGGAACAAAACACTAACTAGTGCTTGTAATCAAAAGTCAGGAAACGATTGATTAAAACAGCGGTATTGATTTTGTAAATTAAGAAACTCGTGACATTTTTTGATACTGAAGGACGAGGTCTACTGTCTAGTTATATCAACTGTTCTTAGTATTATCACATGTGAACAATTCTTCCCATCCATTTTTGCTTGATTGGTAACGTTATATACACTGGTCACGCAATATTCCTTATATATTGTAATTAGAACTTTGCTGAGATGAAACTCAAACTGTCATTATGCGGAACCGATAGTTTAGAATAAGAATAATATACTTACCTGTGATTAGCGCTAAAATCTGTTTGCTTCTAACAACTAGGGAAAATAATCTAACATTCATTACGATGTGTCAATCTATTTTCAGGTACATGTATTTAAGTGCTAAAATTTAATTGCAAGACAGATGTTGAGCAGACGATCATTGTATTGACGTATCACAGAAGAGGAATTTACATGTATATGAAGATAATCATGAAGGTTGAACGCAGGATACAGCTGTACATGTATCATTGGTTGATCGAAGCTTCAGCCACTTTTCGTTACGCTAACTACCATGCGATATATACGATTAATTGTAGTTTTCATGGTTAATACATGTAGGTTGTTTGAGTTTTTCTGCTTTTTTTTTTTTTACATATAAATGAGGCGTATTCAAATAACTAGTCGAACAAAAACATTTCATTCGTCCTTGAGTTTTATCACTTTGTGAAGCAAATGTTGCCCATATTTATTTACATTTCTAACATATATATTCGATTTAAAAATTAGAAATGTTACCCTATACATATCTATGCAGATTTTATGTACATGTTCATAATCTAGTCAATGAAAAAATAAATATTGTTAATTATTTTAAGATCTTTTTTGAATCATATCATTGGAATGGAGCATGCTTCTTTAAGTATTGAGTGTGTATTATTTTTATTTCAAAAATATTTCAATTGATTTGTAATGGATTTTTTCTATTGTTACATGTACAAGATAAGAATTTAACTGCTTTTATCAGTGCTTAATGTCATGTTTAACAGATATATATTAAAAAAAATGTTACTCCACTTCTCAATAAAGCCTATTATTATAACTATGCCTACGGCATTTCTAAAACAATTCTATCCAGATATCTTTTTAAATAATTGATTTCTATATCAATAGATCCTCCTGGTGTGTAATTGGAGACCATTGCCATTTTTTTATGGTTTTTCAATTCGGTTGATAGGCTTTCAGTAAGACTTGTATTCTTTCTGTCTTTCAATAAGATTTACGTGAAATGAGACTTGTAATAATCAGACTGCCTCTAAAATCCGAACTACTGACACACAATAATGTACTTAATTTATTACACATCTAAGATATTAAATACATCTAAAAATGTAATAAGATTAAGGTAAGTTTTGATACATGCACGTTTATACGGGTAAATTTTTGACCTATAAATGAAGCCGTCATAGTGAAGTAACTCACGAGAACTTCAGTTCCTTCTTCAGTTTGCATGTAAAGTTTTTTTTTCCCGAAACTTTTTTTTTCTTCTTTCCAATGCCCGCAGTCTCCTTATCATTCTAATAGAAATCACGTAAAACGGAAGAAAATATTTCGTGAAACATAAGTTTGGTTATTTTTTTTTAGAATAAAATAAAACGTGCTGATAGGCTATCAAAAAATGCCTGTCATGTCATTCATTGTCATTGAGATGACTTGACCATCATTGAATTGTCCCTGAAAGCTTCTATTTCAGTGACCATTGATTTTAAATGAAAGGTATATTTTCACCCTGTTTCTAATTGAAGACCCCCCTCCCCCCCTCCCCCCCCCCCCCCCACACACACAAAAAGACCCTTACTAGAAGTGTATACCAAAGAACCGCTTGAAACATTGCAGAAGTATTCAGCACAATCACATATTCCTTGACACTCTTCTCAATAAAAAGGATAAGGACAGGATTGTCTACAGTTTTCGCCACTGTACCCGGTTGAACATCCTGTAAATATTTTTGCAAAGATAAAAAAAGGTATGTATATTCTTATTTCATTTGCAGAAAAAAAAGAATGCCAAGCGATTCTGCAAACCGAAGTAGGCTGAAAGAAATGTTCATATCAAGATCAAGAAAGATACAATCTAATATAATATATTTCCTCCTTGGCTGGGGAAATGTTACTACTTTTTATATTTTTAGATAATCATTTCTAATGTAATAGGAACTTATTGACATTGGTAACATACACATGTGTAACTATAGATAAATATCTTTAAAATATTTATAAGAGTCCATAATATTTAAGGACAGATGATACAAACAAAAAAAAATGATGCCTGGATTGTTATATATTTTGGGGTTTATTTTTGTTGAAAACGATGCAAGTAATAAAATTCTAAAATAATTAGAAATTGTAAACCTTCTAGAGTATTCAAAATTCTACCTTTCTATAACCATCCTTATTAATCTACACCAATTTTTGTCACTTTAAATTCCATTAATGTGAAATATGACTCAAGTTGTTATTTTTAATTTTTTGATAAAGGTTTGTTTGTATCATGTGTCCTTAATGGATTTACTTTCGCACTGCCGGCTTTCTGTATTCCACTTGTAATCTGCACAACATTTTTGAAGCCCCTATAAACATATATATCTTTAGTGATATATTCTGTGACAGCTTTAGCATCATATAAATGTTTAGCAAAAAATATTTATTCGTGATGGAATAAATATATTAATTTTAAAATACTAACAAAACCACCTATGATTCACATATTGGAATTCCCTTGGAACATAAACAAAGAAAAGTAAATATGCTTATAAAAACATATCTTTGATGAATATTGACGTCTCATGCATCGTATCTCAGAACACAATTTATGCCATCATATTATTTTTAGGTCCAATTTTCATTGAACGGGAAGTAAATTGATTTTCCGTTTCCGTCAATGCATTGTTAGGACTTAAACACATCTTTACATGCTATAAAATGATATTACTAAAGTTTTAGAAGTGTTCTGATTTGAAATAAAAATTCGATACTGAGGCCAAAGAGTAAAAACCCCTTAGTAAATGTCCCATTTCCCGAAGAAAAACATAATATATTTAGTATTCCTTTTGCATAGAAAACCTCCCATCCTATCTTTAAACAGATCAGATTTACGTATTCATTATACATCATGTTTACTTCGCAAATGTTTTCAAGAATTACAGCATTAGATAGCTAAACAGGTCATGGGAAAAAATTAGAGCTTGAATGAAAATCGTAATTGCATAAGCTGCAGATAATGTGAATTTAAAATTTTTGACAATAATCTATATAAGTTTCACTTTTCACTATAACTCCACGTAAATTTAAGGTAAACAGTGCATAAATATATTGAATCAGAATATTGTACATTCATAATATAATTTTCATTAATGAATAAAGTAGATTATTTTAAATTTTACATTATTAAGCGTTTTCTTTTCCTTTTCCGGATTTTGTTGAGTTATTTTTCAAATTTGTTTTTTAGATTAACAAACCGAAAGTACGATCGACGGGAATTCCACATAAAATACATGTAAAATGGCATTGCAGGTTGATCCCGAGGAAATGGATACCCATGATGAAGAATTTCTTGGTCTTCAAGCTGAACCAATGGATTGTCATGGTCAAGAAATCTGTATCTCAGAACATCAGCATATGAATCCAGCTGGAGGCTTCGTCTTCACAACAACCCAAGAAGCACAACTCCAGCGCTTTTTGTGTCTTGGGGCATCTTGCAATGGCTATCAAACCGGACGTCGAAGAGAATTAAAACTAGATGATGCCGGGTTTATATTACAGTAAGTTTTCAGCAGAAATTCAATAAAAATTAGTCCTCAGTGCAATCTGTCACGTCCATTGCTAGACATAGAAAATGCTTAGGAGCCTAGAAATAATTAAAGTGACCATAATGACCTCTGTTGAACTTATTTATATGAATTGAAAAGAGAGTCTGCATTAAAATTATCCATTTTAAGTTCTTTTTTAAAGCTTATTTTACGCATATTCTGATGAAAAAACTTTTTCATTAGCATCAGGAAGTAGATATATCCAATTATGTCTCTTTTCTTGGAATACATTCTGTTGTTTTCTTTTATACAGGTAAATTTATCTTAATGCATTTTTTTCAAATAAAATTATATTTCGAACAACAATCAAATTTGTTTTCTATCTTGAGGCACATGGACGTTAGATTTCTTTTTATCAGATTGAATACTCATATAATTTTTTGTCAAATAAAATTTGTTCTGCTATGTATGCATATAACTTCAAATTATTATTTTTTGTATTATCATGAAAGATAGGGGGCATTGTTTTGTCTAATCCGTCATCTCAAATTGCTTTTTCACTTTCTGGTGAAATAAGCGAATAAATGTTTTAATATTAACAGTTTAAATCTTGTTGGCATATTTCTGATAACAAGGATAACAAGTTTGTGTTAAAATGGTTTACATTATCTGTTCTTAATGAACGATTTTATTGCATTTTCTACGGAAGCAAGTTCATTTTTTTAAATATGTCTTGAAAACTGTAATTACATGGATGTTTCAAGAAAATCACAGAAATATGCTTAATGAATAACCTTAATGAATAGTCTTTTGTCATTATTTTTTGGAAATTACAAAATTGTAGGGCAAGTATAAAATATGTTTGGAAATATATATATTGAATGGCAACCTGTTCAAATGGACAAGAAGGGAAAAAAGTTAATGATGAGCCCTCGAGGATAAACAGAGGATATTTTATCAGAGAGGTTTTCAAATTTGTGTAAATGTGATTGGAAAATCAAGCTAAAAAGCTAGTCAGACGTACATTTAGGTCGACGATGGCCAAACTTCAATCATGTAGTCTTACTTCAGAATATATGTAGCTCAGGTCAGATAAATAAATACACTAGTAAGATTTATTTTCATTATGTAAAATTTAACTCATCAGTTTTATTTTCTCTTTTTAATAATAATTTTGAAGCGTTGATTAATATGTATTTTAATTTTACAATTGATAACTGATTTTAATTTTTTTTTAAATTTAAAGATTGGTAGGCGATGGATATGGTAAAAAGGTGGTGGATTTTCTAACGGATTTCTCTACGAATTGTCGTTCATTCAAGCAGGATCCTACTTTATTACTTTGGCGCTCTGCTGTCGGTCCTCTGATGAAGTTACAAAGCACGCAGCCTTTGCAGCTGTACAGAAAGTTTGCAGAACACCAACCCATCTTTTCAGATACCTTAACTACTGCCAAAAATAAGCCTTGATTTGACATCAAGAAAAGGATGGGGACGGGGGCTTCGTAAAGCAGTATGTGATTGGTACCGGAGATATGGATCATCAGAACGAAATCTGAAGCTTTTGGCGTTACACCTCACAAAATATACAAAAAGATATGGTTGGAGCCACAGGCAAGCAATCCGTCTCGCTCATCTCAAAGTGGAAGAAGGGAATTCTGCCTTGAAGTATTTGATAATAATTGCAAGGAAGGGGAAGCGATATGCCGATTCTACCTCGCTAGTTGACAAACTTAAGAAACAGGAAAAATATAATGAAACTCATCTGAAAGCAGTTGCTGAATTGCTAGATGGTATTGAGAGTGCAAAGAAAACAAATGATAAAAATGTGATTATAGACCTAATCCTTAAGCACAGGTTAGTCAGAGAGAACATCCCAAGTTTTTTTTCTTAAATGAAAAACAAGTTTGGTTGGCCCTGAGTAGACATATGCCGATGATAGCTCTAATCAAAAACCTTGGAAAAATGCCAAACTTGGATATGTTCATTCAAGAAAATCAACAATTAGACGAAGAAGAATCGTTTGAAGAAAATTTGATCTTGGGGAAATTGCAAAACAGAGAAGTTATTTTAATGGAAAAAGTCCATCCAGTGATTTTTCTGAAAGCAATAAACCAGTACAAGAAAGGTCACAATAACTCTGAGAAAACAAATTGGGCGGTGTTACCTCAGATTTGCACTGCCCTTGAAAACGGATTCTACTTATCTTTTGAAAATATCAGACCCACTGGCAAACGCTTCCTGGTTGCAGTAGAAATTAGTAAATCGATGAAGGATGACATCCAAGTCCCAGGCACATTTTCTTTACGTGCTATAGATGTTGCCGCCTTCATGGTGACTTTGGCAGCGAGAACAGAACAGCATTCTGACTTTATAGTCTTCTCATCTGAAACACCTGAGCCTTTATCCATCCAATCAACTGCCACAATAGAAGACGTTATCGGTAGAATTCAACATATTGCAGCTACTACAAGTAATTCAGCCTCTGATGCTTCTTGGGTTTTTAAATATGCAATGCAGGAGAAGAAGCGTTATGATGCAATTGTAATATACACCGATTCCAAGTCTTGCAAAGGACATCCAAATCATGTGGAAGCTCTTAAAATGTATCGCAAAGCGACCGAAAAGGAAGATGTACAATTAGTTGTTTGTAACTTATCCTGTTCTGACATGACTATTGGAGATATAGAAGACAGGTTAACAATGACAATATGTGGATTTGATTCCCATTGTCCGCAAATCATAATGAACTTTGTTCATGGTATCCTTTGAACTGCATCTCAAATTTGCAACAAAACAACTTCTTGATAATATCAAAGTACTGAATTAGTTCTAACCTTTGGAATACTTTTAAAAAAAATCCGCATCAACATGTTAAAGGAATGAGCTCGTTTCCAAAATCGTAGCAGTTTTGAGATTAATCACTGTTTGTCATCTTCACCTTTTTCATCCTGAATGTTTACTCCGTCGTTAGCTTTATTCAAAAAACATTAAAACAGAACAGACAAAACTGTTCACTCCAGAAAGTTTGGCAACCACCCCCTACCATCTTGGGACTATGAAAGTGTGATCACTTTTTTAAATATAAAAAGTGTCATCAGACCTTTCCATGTTTATGATTCAAGAATTAGCTTGGGGGATAAACAAGTATATTATTATCTTTAAGGATGTTTTGACATTTTGTCCTTTGATCAATGTTTAAAGTAAATTGACATTTACACATCCTTCATGTATATTTATCATAATATTGAAACGGAACATCCGATTCTAAAGTAATAGAAAAAAGTGGCCTACAAGTTTAAATATTATATAGTGAATGGTAAATTTTGTATGATTTGTACAAGTATCTAAAATATTATGAGATTAATAATTAAACAAAATACTCATTTGTCTGATAATTAATTTTTAAATATTGTAAAGTTTTTTAAACATGTTAGATATAATTGCTATACATATTAAGGAGTTAATTTTCATTATTTGCTATTTTCACGTCTTCATTTTCCAAATTGTTTTTTGAAAGAAAATGTAAAAATAGCAAAAGTTATGCAAATTATACCAAACTATGTCCCCTCCCATGAACAGTACATCAACTAATAAAGTTAATGAAATTATCACATCATGCTTTTTCTGACAATAACAAGAGAGAGGCAGTACAGAAACCGAAGACTGTAAAACATCACATGAAACATTGTATTATTATGAATGTTTTAGAAAACAGTAAGAGTCAGTGAGATATTACTTTAAAAAGCAGATGTTCACCGTTGAATTTTGTTTTCGTTTGATTTCAGGATACTTATCATGTCAGACCATTGTAATTGAATAAATTGTAGGCAAATATCATATATGTAATACCTATTTATGCAGTCCTTAAAATTTAAATCTTAATTGTATCTGGGGATATACCTCTAAATTGTATCCACATTTTCATATTGCATTTAAAATAGTTGTATTGTACTTACATATTTAGAGTTTTATATTTATTCTCTCTCTTACAATACGATATCTAAGAATATATATATGATCTCCCATTATTTGTGGTAAGGCATATGTATCCACAACGAGTTGGATACAAATCAAATCCGACCAGAATCCGTGGTGCATCCCTTTTTCTTTACATATTTACGCATATCTGTAACATCTTTATGAATGAATAAGCTTTGTTCGACTTCATCATTTTCACTTATTTGTCAAAAACAATATATAAAAAAGATAATGAATGTTGTTGATCAATTGTTATTAGGTAAAACATCGGTTGTCATGGATCTGTCTTAAAACCATATTAACCACAGAACTGAATTCGAAGGCATAGAGGATTGTCTTTTTATGGTGAAGCCAGTTTGACTACATGTATATGTCAAAGTCAGAGGCTAATACCTGAGTTCCTTGAACTCTTAGCATTGTTTGTTTTATTTAACGGACTATTTTATGAAATAAATTGACATTTGGAGAAAAAATTATAAAAACCATGCTGTTATTTTGACTTCATATGAAATTGACTTGGAAGAAAAAGAGTCATCATTTTTTATTAGTTCTTTAGATTTTCAAAGGTAAAAAAAAGGATACGGGAATGAGCCTTTGGGTTTAATTAATTTTTAAAGGAGTAGGAACCAAAATGTGAATCAATATTCATTAATTCTTTAGACCCCCAACCTTTTAAAGGAAATCAAGATCATACAAATGGGGAAAGCTGTACTTTGCATTTAATTTCTTAAAGTAAAATAAAAATGAGCAAACTTCGGGCATTTTTTACTCAGTGGTTTTAAATGCTTTTAGTAGCATAATAACACAAGGTCTGGAACAAGAGTTTTGTTGAGTGAGATTCATCCACCCTCCATAAAACTTACAAAATAATAAACAGGTCGAGGAATCTACCTTATATGGATATTGTTGTAATTGCGCACAGAGGTGTTTACAGCGAACAATGGTCCAATCCAATGAATGAGCCGAAAAGCATGATGGTTTAGTACATGTTTATATTTTACTACAAACACGTGGGTCAGGCAATTTTACGACGCGAATTCAAATGACTGCTGGAAAGTCAACTAATAATTATTTTGAATGTTTTTTTTTGTGTTTTTTTTTTTTTTTTTTTTTTTGAAAAACACGAAGAATAGGTTCTAATTAAGATTTTCCATGCTCACATTAACAAACAAAGTCAATTGTCCGTGTTAAATAGTACGTTGAAATGCCGCTCACAAATTGTTTACAAGTAAATAAAAACCCATTTTTTATAACTTGATATTCGTAAATTCGCCATGCTACTGGTGTTATTCGTTGTTAATTTGTTATTTGTTTACTAGAAATTAAAAGTTAATGCAGTTATAAAAAAAAAACGTAAGTCTATTGCTGTACGGTATTTTAATTCTCAAGTACATTGATATAGCATATATATAGAAGTTGTATACATAGTAAACAATGACAATACATGAGAACACCTCAGAGTCAATTGTTTTGGACCAGAAAATAGTCACGTGAAAATTCATATTTACTGATAGTACAGCACGGGAAAAGCTAAAAGGAGATTGTCCACTAACGGACTTGTACAATTGAGTGTATGAAACCCATATTTTAACGTTGTAAAACATTTTTATGTAAATGTGAGCATGGAATTGGTAGATAATGTTGTACATATTGTATTAAGAGTGTAAAATGCTTGGAAAATGCATCCTGTCTTTCCGAGAGCGATTTGAAAAATTGGCCTTTTCGAAACGCACATGTATTATTTTTTGTAGTAACCCATAATGCAACTCATTTAGCTGATTGGTCGGTTTGCCAGTCACGTTGGTGCCTCATTTAGCATGTAAATTTATTCTGACGTCACAGAAAATAGTTTCCTCGACCTAATAAAAGGGCTATTATACTTTGGAAGGACTGGTCGCTGCACTGAAAAACATTTTCTGAGGTCAATTTCTTTTCCAAGTTTCATTTGAAATGTTAATTGCAACAGCTGCACAACTTTAGTTTGGATGTCACAATGCATCAATGAAATAAGAAGAAAAGACGGAAATCACTACCTTACTTAACTCCCTCAGCTAAATTGCAGCAGAGATTCAGGTCTCAAAGTATCTTTGCTATATTTTTAATTAATGTCCATTTTTGTAAAAAAAAATGTAAAAGGAAAAAAGAAAAAAAAAAAAAAAAACATCAGATAACAAAAACATGCGTATTATTGTCTAAACATGTGACATGTATGAAACAAAATTCAAATTCAAAAAAATATATCGATTATGTTCCTTCTGTGTATACGTAGATTATGCCTTGAATATATGTGCATTTATTTAACTTAACTGCATTTGAGGGTTAACACTATTCGTCATTTTCTTTCTTCAAGACAACAGTAAATCACAATGTCCGTCTTCTTCCTCTGACAGAACATCGCCAGAGCCCATTTTACCCGTTCGGTTATCGTATCAGGAATAATGTCAACAAGAGACTTAGTTGAGTACACTGTAATATTAAATACTCTGTTGAATGTATATATATATATATATATA